GCGACATAAAATAACGCCAATAAAAGGAGCTCATGGAAAAATTTCGCATCGTCATATATTACCACATGTATTCTAATCGAGTTGCCGCCTTTTTGAGAAAATGAGTTTCATTTGCATGACAATAACAAATACATTTTATATCAATGGCTTTGCACTTAGCCTCGCTTTGAAACAGAGGCTTGGGGCAACACAGAAATGATCCATTTAAATAATTTGCATTAATAGCAAACTGGAAAGATCCTCCTGTTGAGAATGTCGTGTATAAGACTGGGGAAGGTATTAAATACAGTCAAAAATCGAACTAACTAAGAAAAAGAAAAAGCAGTGGATAAAAACTTACCAGTCTCATTTGTTTTCCGTTCATGGCGATTTCTTGATTCCATAACCAAGTATGTGCCTCTTAAAGTTTTTAAGCCTGCCGTTTGATCTCACGTATCAAACTGAGTCTGAAATCGTCCTTTACATTAACCCTTATCGGCTAAAAATAATCATCTCCGATAGTGGAGTGCTATTGGTGCACACCCTTGACCCATGAATTTGGAACTAACGCCTTTTGTACCAAGTGACTGTTAAATACAACTGGGGCAGCTTATTGGAATTCTTTTTATTTTCTAACAACAAGTTAACAAGTAATTCACGAGGTAGAAAATACGAAATGACTTTTACATTCTAACTACCACTTCTTTTTCTTTCTCGTTTTTTGCAAAAGAGTCATGGTTTGAGCTGCGAACTTTGCGGAGGACAATATTGTTTCATTGGAAGTGAAAAAACAATAAAAATGAATAAAATCTGCAACATCAATATATACAATCTTCAGTGCCGCTAATGCTAAAGAAGCGGCATATCATTGAGACAACAAATGAATCATTCTTGGACCCATCGAACATCATTATCTGGAAGATTTTTTTTTCTGTGTATTTATTTATTGTCTGTAATGGCTATTACCTGAACTGTTTCATGCCAACAAACGAAACCAATCAGGGGTTCAGGTTTTATTCAAAACACTCGAATAAGAGAGAGCGCACTTCGCTTTGTTGCATACTTTGGTGCGCACAAACAAAGCCCTTTAAATTAGGTCACTTTCACGATGACGACATTTGACTACAACTAGCAGAATTCATTTCAGTTTTTTTTTCTTATTTTTATTTACATGTAAATTTGCCAATACCGCTGAGATTTCAAAAACAATAGCCCTAAGTAGCACAAGAAAACGACAAACTGAACTTGAGGACTCTGGTAGTCGTAGCAAAATGGCGTCATCATATAATTGTCTCAGTGTTTCTAACTGCGTATCGTTAAAAATAGGAGATAAATTTGGAGCCTAACCGTAGCAGCCTGCTGGAAGCTCGCTCTTTTTCTACTGGCAATCCATAGTTCAAGGCTCAGAAACTCAAAACAACCTCAAAAAATAATCTGAAACAGTGATGAATAATTTCTTTGATACTGTAAATTAAAAGTCAGGTTTATCTAGATTTGTTCGTATTAAGATATTGATCAAAGAATTATGTTGGTTCTAAAATATCTATTTAAAAATAAAAACGAAACAATAACACAAAGCAAAGAAATTAATTTTGGGAAGAGTTTACATCGAGTGCACCCCCGGGCAACAAAGATAAAAACTATCGAGTATTTCTCTTCGTTCTTCCTGTTGTGTTACGATACAGATTCCTTTCATTTCAGTTGTAAGGGTTCATGTACTAGGGAAAAAAAAGGCGCTGAGTCTAGAACTCCTCAGGGCAGGTCGAGCTTTCCTGGAAGAATGTACCCAAAGTTTCTGGTTAATCCGGCTGAATGATTGACTCATTAGATAATAAAGTACAAAGCACTTTTCTAAAAATTAGAGTTAAATCTCTATTTCGTGTTCTCAAAAGTTATGGATAAGCTTATAAGTTTAAGACATTACACTTTTTCACTTGGAATAAATGACAAAATTTAATAAAATCCGCAGCATTCAATATGTCCAATTATCTAGCTAGAGGGATTTCAGTTACCAAGTAGCTCTAAGATAAAAATAAGTGAAAGGTTGGAGCCTAACGGAAGGCCTTCTGATAGCTTGCTCGTTATGCAACAACGATACTTGGTTTGTTTAAGTCGTTGGCTAATTGTTTCAGAGCTGAAACTGACATTTATTGTAGTTCGACGACTTTTATGCAACATTAACTTTCAATTGAATTTCATTATTCAATTTTCCTGAACGATTTTTTCGTTTAGTGAATTCAACCATCTGGCTTTAAGCGAAAAAAAAAATCACAATAAAAAAATGGAGAAAAGAAAAATAAATCTGGCTTTTAAATGTCAGTTTAAAAACTGCTTGTAAGGATGAAATAAGTTGTAAAGGGTAGCAATTGCTAAAGTCCTGTATTCAAATTATTAACATATTTCAGTCTTTTGTTTAAAACTTAAGGTAACACGACTAACTTCTTTCCTGCCTCCTGTGGTGAGTTTCTCTTAGGTGCAAGAACGTATTTTTAATGAACACTGAGTATATAATGCTGCCGGTCTTGAGACGTTTTTCAGTCAGTAATCAGGAAAGGAGTCTAGAGTTTTCAACGCCTTCAGAGAAGAGAAGTCAATATGGACAATTTTGTCAAACTGGTAAGACTAAATAACTTCGTCAATTAAATCTTCCCGATATCATCTTTCATTCTCTTATCATTGAATTAGTAAAAACATAGTGTAAGTATGAAAATCAATAAGTGCTCTCGTTAAAATTTTCTTAAAACTATGAATCTGTCTTTTCTGGCAAGTACTCAAATTCCGTTTTGCAGAGAATCTATTAATAAGATCCCGAAAGAAAGGATGAAAAAGTATACCCATCTTGCTTACATACTCTCTTCATCCAGATTGGTCGAGGTGCAGAAATGCTACGTTTGGCCTTCTTTCATCATTCAAGAGAACTAAACATAGTCAATCCAATACGGGCAATAATAACAAAATCAGCTATTTTAGATAAAAAAAAGTTTTAAAGCCCAAAGTAAGTTCGCTTGGTATAATTACAGAGTAAAAAGGAATTTATTTTTTGCATCTTTTCTTTGGATTCACTGAGGTCATCCACATCTTTGCAGTTACTTTTTGCTTGGCTATGATCCTTAGTTCGACAGGAAAAGTTGAAGCCAAACCCCAAGGTCCTACAGGAAAACACAACAACACCAAATGCAATCATATCATGATACCAAGGATCACTGTCGACTCTCCTGGGTATACACCAACCTCTACTAGGAAGACGTGTATTGAAAAAATCATCCCAATTACTATTTGTAACAAAATGTACAATGTTGCACTTTGTAAGAAACAGAACGGCTGCAGTGGAGTCCCGAAGATGATAACTGTGACTTACCGAACATGCTGTAGAGGAAACCACACTACATCCGTTGCATTACCAGGTGGTTGTTCTTAAAGTGGAAGAGACTGTTGGTAGCTTGTTCCCCATATACAATGAACAACATCCATTATCTGCATTTTGAACGTTGCAATAAGAATATAATATTTAATATAACGTATCAGAGCCCCTCAAGAGGTATACAACAATGGTGTTAAAAAGATAAATATAAATAAAGTTCATGGAAAGAAAGGACAGAGTTTTCCTAGTTTCAATGATTAATTTTTTTCCGTTACGAACCTAGAGGAAACACTATTATCTGTTGACAACTCCTGGGCACGTCAAGGGTAAATTTGTCGTTGATCCATTTCCCAAAACTTAGGCAACGCCAAAAAGTGTCTAACTGAATTTACACACAAATAATGATCAAAAAAAGTTCGGATGATTAGTTGCTTGTCAAGTTGGAGCATTTAACAAGAAAAATTAAACTGAAGAACGTTATTTGACGTTTCGGTGTTTCGAACATCATTAGCAATAATGAAAACCGTTACGGGACTTCAAGTCAACTCTTTTTTAAGTAGCTAAAACAACCTTGACATCTCAAGGTTTTTTATTCTTGATAATGATGTTCAAAACATAGAAACGCCAAGTAACATTCCACAATTTAATTTATCTTGTAACAAATGAACGAACGAACGAACGAACAAATCTTCACAATGGTTAACTTTTGTTCAATCGTACATTGACAGTGATTAAAAACGGATAACATAGACCTAAGATGATCTAGCGTTAATATTTAGTTAAATCTATGGCACCTATTAATATGAACAGTGGCACAACATTGCGTGGAGGGGATGAGGAGGGAAAAGCCGTTTAAGGGCGAAGTGTCTCCACTAATGTTTTATGGTAATTTTAAGGCTTTTAACATTTCATATTTGATTCTACACACTTTTAAAGTTGATTTTTTTTTGTTCTCAATGTGAGGCGTTTGTGGACTTAAAAAAAAACGCCATATAAAAAAATTAATAGCCTTTTCCAGGCTCTCACAGAGTCAATCTCGTTCTCAGGGTTTTCTCCTACCCGCCCTACTCGCTTCGTAGGGCGTGTAGGAAAGAACCCTGGGAAAGAGGTTGTCAAATAGTAGGGATGACGAGGAAGTGTAAGGCGCGCGAAAATATAAGCGCGTGATCGCTTCCTGAATTTCGCGGACCCGACTATCTCGGAGCCTGGAACAGGCTAATGAATTAATAATGATAATAATAATAACAATAATAACAATAATAATAATAAAATATTATGATCATCATCATTACTACTATTATTATTACTATTATCAAAATCCTAGCTTTGATTTCTTATGCTGTTGGTTTTTTGCTTAAGACTGCGCCCCTTCCACCAACCCTACGCCTATGACTGCACCATTCCTCATTCAAGATCCGTAAAATACAAAGAAAACAAAAGTGAGAAAATATTTCAGTATTTTATTATTCATATCCTTTTATATTTTCATAGTTTTAACACAGTTTTTATACCTTTGCTATCAAACCACTGGAATGATAAATAAGTTAAAATAGTACATTTTTAAAAACTAGAATTTGAAGCGTTTGGATGCAAATAACTGCGTTGCGTTCATGGTTAGGAAGAAAGTCAGTCGAACGAGCTACCAACAGTCTCCTTCACTTCAAGAACAATCATACGGCAATGACACGGATGTGGTGTCGTTTCCTTTACAGCATGTTGGAAAAGTCACAGTAATCTTTCTCTGGATTCCTTTACAACCGTTCTTTTTTTCCTTACAAAGTGCAACATTGTACATTTTGTTACAAATAGTAATTGGGATGATTCTTGCAATGCACGTCTTCCTAGTAGAGGTTGGTGTATAACCAGGAGAGTTCGCAGTGATCCTTGGTATCGTGATATGATTGCATATGGTGCTGTTGCTTTTTCCTGTAGGACCTTGAGGTTTGGCTTCAACATACGAAGTAGGATTAAGAATGAAAGCCAACGACAAAATAACTGCAAATATGTGGATTACCTTATAAAGAAAAAGAAAATAACTTGCATCATGAAATTAGCTTTAAGAAGTTTTTAAGCTAGAACCACAAAGCAGTGTAATTGTCTGTTAGTATTGTATTCAACATGCTCACCGACATCAGGGAGACCGCCTTTTCTTCCCTATATTTAAGCCAATTAGGCTAACTTTTCTTGGCGACATAAAATAACGTCAATTAAAAAAGCTCATGGAAAAATTTCGCATCGTCATATATTGACATATGTATTCTAATCGAGTAGACGGCATTCCCAATCTTTGGTTTCAAGAAAATTTCAAGGGAATAGGTCATTTCCGAGTTCCAAAGACTCACTTTCGAAACGAGGCCAACTGCAAAACCTTTCTTGAGAAAATGAGTTTCATTTGCATGAAAATAACAAATACATTTTATATCAACGGCTTTGCACTTAGCCTCGCTTTGAAACAGAGGCTTGTGGCAGCACGGAAATGACCCATTTAAATAATTTGCACCAATAGGAAACTGGAAAGATCCTCTTGTCGAAGATGTCGTGTATAAGACTGCGAAGGGTATTAGATACGGTTAAAAATCGAACTAACCAAGAAAATGAAAAAGCAGTGGATAAAAACTTACTAGTTTCATTTGTTTTCCGTTCATGGTGATTTCTTGATTCCAGAACCAAGTATGTGCCTCTTAACGTTTCTAAGCCTGACGTTTGATCTCACTTATCGAACTGAGTCTGAAATCGTCCTTTATATTAACCCTTACCGGCTAAAAATAATCATCTCCGACATCCCCATTTTCCTCGGTATGCTGAAGGAACCACTTTAGAATTTAATTGCTTTCAATGCTACAGGAAAAATTTCTTATTAATTGGTTTCAGTGATGTTACTGACGTAAATGAAGCCTATGTACAAGCCCCGTTCCGTGTCAAATGCAAAATAAACTGTCTGAGATACTAAAATACGCTTTTGACAATAGCTGCAATTATCATTTATCATGTAAAAAAAAAGCCTTTTAGAGCTTGTAACAATCTTGAAGCTGCTCCATGAACCGTAGCCAACGCAAGAAGATAAAATCCTGGTCTCTGATGATACTCTCATTTTACGCTAAAACGAGGTCATCTAATTTTCAATTGCAGCAACTGGTAAAAGGTGCTGGTAAAATTGGTGGTAAAGTTGGCAATAGCGAATGGATTGGTAATGGTATCAATAAAAATATTAGTCACCTCTAATCAGACACATTTACTAAATGTTATTTCTCAATAATTATCAAAGAGTGTATTCGCCACACAGTCAATAATGTCAATAATTCCGAAAGCAAATGTTACTGTCCTACCTATTGTGCCCAAAATAAAGGATTGTTGGTTATTTTTTGTTGTTATGGCTGTTACATGAATTGCCAAGGGTTAACATAAATAGTATGTACTTCTGCTACACTGATCAATTTTATTGAAGTACAACACCAGGTGTTTAACCAATTTTGCAACGATTTAACTTTATCGAGTACAGCGACTTTTGGACAAGAAACTTCATTTTAGAATCCTTGATTTACTTCTGCAAAGTATTATATGATCAGAAAAGAAACTTCAGTTTAGAATCCTTGATCTAAATCTGCAAAGTATTATATGATAAGAAAAGAAACTTTATTTTAGAATCCTTGATTTACTTCAGTCTTCAAAGTATTTTATGATCAATCACATGGCAGTCAAATTATGCCAGAAATCTGCGAGGCGAAAAAAATAACGAAATCTTAAGATAAGAGCTTCAGGTTCCAAATAATCTGAAAAAGTGTGGAGCGCAGTCATGCAAGTGAAATTTCATATTCATTAAAACCTGTTGTCTTGAAAGTAAAATTTGTCCACACTAACAATAAAAATCAATTCGGGGAAGTGTTCGCAATTCTATGCCTTAGGGAAGAAATGGTAAAAAAAGGACGTCGAAAAATAAGATCAAACCGGCTCTCTTCGTTCTTCCTGTTTCAGGTTACGATACAGACATATTTCACATCAACTAATTGCACGGTTTTGCCATTTGTATCGGAACCTTTTAGCCACTTTCTGTTTAAATTGAATGAAATGACAATAAAGTTACTAGCAGTAGTAAAAATCAATTCTATGACTTTTACAGACCGGAATTTCTACACATACAAAAAAAAATCGATTTTCTTTTCGAAACAATTATACTTGACCTGCAAACTTTCCAGGAGTGGACAATATCGTTTGCTTCGGAATAAGGATATCAAATTATACACAAACTCATCATAAAATACATGAAACCCTAGCGTGCAGGCAAAGAAAGTTAAATCAAAACACCATTCTTGGAGCACTAGCTATCAACCGAGCTGCTTTTAATTACAAAGTTGAAAGTAAGCGTAGTAGGTTGGAGCCTAAGAAAAGGCTTCGAATCACTTGGTTATTCAGATTATTGCTGGACCTCTTTCAGCAATCGCAGCTCTGGAATTCAAGCTTTATAAACTAAAAAACATCTCCGATAAGCCGTGTTGTAAAGTGTTGTTTGTCACCAGGAAAATCAATGAGCAAATGGACTTTTAGGCGAAATGACCACAATGCAAGGTATCCATTAATACGGTCATTTCCAACCGAAGTCTTCAACTTTAAAAACCCATGCTTCGTACGCTAGTGACCACATGATTTTGTGTAAAGTCGGCTCAATGAACAGTGATGTCAGTTAATTACAAGAAACATTTAACTACATTTTACGGATTTTCTTATCCTGTTATTGTTCTTGACATCAATGTTTAAGTTTCAAACACATTTCAGGAATTCTCTTAAAAAAAGAATGGTCGTCATTTTGAGGTTTTATTTAAAGCTTTAATATTCAAAGCACGTAGAGACGTGTCGCACTCAGAAAGTTTTCTGGGTTTTTCTTCCAATTCTAGGTATATATTGTCTAAAAACTTCCTATGCTTCCGATTTTGTAGTTGAAGTCCGGTGGAATTTTGGTATTGCTATAATAATTTCTCCCATTTTTTACTGCTGTAATTGAGTCTGACTCAGTCCAGACTCATTGTCATTAATTCCAAGAGTGAATTCTCTACTGGCTAAATTTATTTGGTATTAGTCCTAGGAATTCTAAGTTACTGTATGAAGCCATTTCCAGAAATTCCAAGCTTTTAAATTGTTCCTAATTTGAATGTTTTGGAACTACTGGGAATTCCTAATTTCCAGTTGTGTGTTAAGCCATTCACAGAGCACAAAGCACAAACTCAGCCAAAACGCTAAAAATCTTCAATGTTTACTCAAGTTTGGGCTTATAGAAGATAATGTCACAGTTTTTCAATGACCATGAAATTC